CAGAAATGGTAATCAAGCTTCTTGAGATCCAGTAAGCTATGTCTAAGCTAGTTACAGATAAAATGTATTTAACCAAATTTTTGGTCAGTTAAGACTGCCCCCTGTGTTTACTTACAGAGTTCTTTTTGGGACATGCATGATATGTTTGTACTTGAATAAAATCAGTGAGCCAAAATTCTGGAAACATATTTTGAAGACACTCTGTCTGTAAATGCCTTTAAAAAAATGGATCAGTGACAGAGAGGACTCCAATTATAGCACTTATTCCTGTTATTATGAAATCAAACAACGAAGAACACAATAAAAGTTCTCCAAAAGCAAAGCAATGTTTGTGGTTACTTGTTAATTATAGCATAACCCAGTTCTTCACATATAATAGTATCCCATCCAGTCCAATGCACATAAAATTTGGCTTATATGGAAGGAAGCATGGTTATAAGAAAAGTGTTCCCAAGCACTCCTTCCCTTGCCAATTCTCTATCTTCAGCTCTCTGATCCAGTTTTCTAGACAGTCTCTCAGTGTACAAATGTGCTTTTAAATGTTTTTCTCCCCTCTCAACAACTGTTCTAGATTGTATGGACTATATTTTCTTCTTTTCCATATTCTTGTGGCTGTGAGGACCAGGGAACTGTCCTTTCCCTGGCTGACTCGTTTCTGGAGAGGACAGTTTGCCTGTGCTAGACCTTTTATCCAGAGGTCTTCCTCTTGTGTCTGCTTTCCAGTCTGATATACTGCTCTGCTCCCTAAGGAAGACAGTTACTTCCTGTTCCTTCCCAACCTGGGCTTCCTCATACTGTGGCCTAATACAAATCTTTCCTTGCTCCAGCTCAGACCTCTTGGACAGACCTAGGAGCTCCCTCTCTCTTTAGGGAGGTTGTGGAGTTCTTCCTTTGCCTCTTTCTTCCTCACTCTCACCACGTCGCTCAGAAAAGCACCTCAACAAAGCAGACATTTTTGGGTTTTCCCACAAAGATAACACAATGTAGCCTCACATAAGGAAAGTATATTTCTTCCATTAACACAGTTTGAATATGCTCTTTGCAAAACTGTAACCTTCGCTTTATTTTGCTATGGAGGCTTTGACCATCATCTGGGCTTGGCTTTGGACATGGGTTCCAATGTCAGCAGTGAGTTGCTTTATCTTAGTTTTTTCTGAGACCAAATCTCTCATCTAACCAAAAAGAGGACAGGAAGATTGGTGTGCTCATTCCTCCTGCTTCTATGTTTTTTTTTTCCCTTGTTTCATATATATCCATAATAACACTTAAGAAGATATAGACAAGCAGAGCCCTGGTGACAGCAGTATTAGGAGAGAGTATTTGCCATCTGTATCTGTCAGAGTCTTACAAGAAAAAACTTGTTTGTACAAAGGATTTAATTAAAGAGAGTTTAATAAAGGGATGTCTGACAGAGATGCAAACAATCTTAGGAGAAGCCAATAAGGAATAATGAAGACCAGGAACAAGCAAGAGCAGGTGGGTTAGTATTGTGTCCAGTCTGTAGAAGCTGGGCGGAAGAGGCAAGTGGTGTTATTAGACCCCAGGAGAGCTGCAGCTGTGGAAGAGGAGAAGCTTGAAAGCATAGCTCCATTCTCTGCCCTACTTATCCCACTGCAGAAACCATGACCTGGCAAATGTGGTCAATAAGCCGGTCTCTCTCTCTTCATTCTCTCTAGTACCCTTCCAGCACCACATACTGAACAAAGCCAATTGGAAGCTAGAAGGTAAGGACCTTGCCAGGGCACAGGCAAACAATGGTGGAGAATGGAGAGGTGAACAGAAGAACCCATATGAAATCAACAAAGTTAGAAAATGAGCTACTTATGTCACAAAGAAAACCATTAAATCCAACTTTATCATATTTTACATTTGAATACTACACTTCTATAGATACCAAAAGAAATGCAACATTACCTTATAGAAGTTCACAGGTGGATGGGTAGGGTTTGGATTTTCATTATCCCTTCAGGCTCTATCTCCTTATTCTGTGACCTATGTCAGAGAAAATAAAAACCTGTGTCGATATATACACATTTCTGGAAGTTGTTGACACCAAACCACAGCATTAGTGAAATCTTCCTTTTTAAGTGTCAAGTTTTATCAAAGTTAGGCTCCTTCATGGACACCTGAAAAATGGAAATTCTCTCTCTTTTTTTAGCTTGGAATTTCAAGCTGATTTCTACCCTCCATCCATTTTACCATCATGCTTACAAAATGTTTTGTTAGATTAGGTATGGAACTCAGGAGATTTTTATTTGCTGTCTTTTCTACTGCAGAACTTCACGAATTCAGGAGTGTAGAAGTTGGGTAAGGGGTGAAGTTAACAGGGACAAGGACAGGATACTTTTAAGAAATGGAATAGAGACATAAACACATGTGAGTAAAGAATTATTTAACTACATGTCTCAGAGGAAGAGAAAGAGCATAAAATTAAACAGCCATGCTATATAAATGGAAGATTCTGATGACTATTGTTTATTACCAGGGAACTGGAAGATTCTGATGGCTATTTTTCATTACCAGTGATCAATCCTCATCCTTCTCCGCTCAGCTCTATCCTGGGAGGCTGACCTATATGGACTACTGCCTTTTGATAGGAATTTGGAGTAGGAGGAGAATAAAGCTGGGGAAAGTATCCTTCTCCCATTCTTCCTTCCTATGGGACCCCTGGGAGCAGGCCCTCCATTCAGGGCTAGAGCCCTAATCAGACTGCTCTCTCTCCTGTGTTTCCCACTAGTCACCTTTCCTCTTCAGGCCTGGGCACTGCAAAACCCTTGTGGTTTCCCATACTCTGCCCACATCTTTGCAAGTGGTCCCATTTGTTGTTAAATTGCCCCTTGGAATGTACTGTTTTCTGCCAGGATCCTGCCTCACTCTCTTCTGTTAGTAGCCCAAGGAAGATTTACTGAGTAACTACTATATGTCACAGATAAAATAACTTAAACCGTAAATACTCTCAAAGGGTTGTCCGGAGAGTAGAGACAGTCAACAGGAACAGTCATTACATCACATCTTGGTAAGTGATGCAGTGTCACTGGATGGAGAGGTAGGTGGAGGAGTATTGGCAGATTCAGGGAAGATTTCTTGATGGAGATGGGGTCGGGCAAATTTAGAGACAAAGAAGCAGGTAGGGAGTAGTCAGGAGCTGGGAGAGGAGTTTACAGATATCAGGGCCAGGCATATTGCTGTCAAGTATTAGAGTGAAGGACAAGAATGCATCAGGTGATAGAAAGCCCTGTACTGCAGGGAGGGGTCCTTCTATTCCATTTGCTTACTTTGCCGTTCTTTCTCTCTCCGCCAACAGAAAATTAACGACACAGGTGAACTTTACGATCTCCTACTCTTAGTCCTTAATCTTACCCCCACTATACTGCTGACACACCTACTTCCCTGACCTAAGACCTGTCTTTTCCACTGAAAACCACTCTCATACATTTCTAGCTCATTCTGAGGCCTTTCAAAAAGACATGGAAAATATAGTAAACTAGTCCTTAGAGATGAACTACAGGAAAGGGCCAGAAGCAAATGTCCCCAAATGTGTTTTAGAATCCTACCAACCATTAAAATGGTTTTCTTCAACAGCACTAGATAGCATTGACATTTCTTGTTTGATGGAGAAGGACTTTAGTAAGGCTGGAAAGAGGGAAGTTTCATTATATGAAAATAGAGGCTTGGTTTTAAAAGATTTGGGTAGGTGGGCACTTTTAAGTTCACTTTTATCAACTATCTAGGTGAGTCTAAAGTCCAGGAGGTCAGTAGTTTCCTGGCTAGTTTAAGAACAAGCTCACTCTTCACCAGAGGTTCCTCAACACATTCCATTTGCTTACTTTGCCTTGACCTTTACCATCTCCTACTCAGTCCTTAATCTTACCCCATTATACTGCTGACACACCTGCTTCCCTAGCACATCACTAGCCCCAAAACCCACCACTCCACTAGGACTGAGGTTCGTGAGACTTCATTACTCAGAATCACACACACTAGCCCCATTGTGTGCACCCCGTTCTCTTTTCTGTCAACCAAAAATCAGCACCACTGTTTTCACTCTGTCCACAAATAAGGAGGAGAATGGAAGAGTTAAAAGAATGCGATGGGCCCTCCCTGGTGGCGCAGCGGGTTAAAGCACTGCACTGAAAAGCTAAAGCCACTTCCGCATGAGTTCGATTCCCGCCTGCCCCGGAGGAGACCACATGGCGTGGCAGACCTCTCCTGACCCGCCCGCTGCTCCCCTCAGCAGTGTACTTCGTTGATCTGCCTGTTCTGCTCCCCACTCTGTCTCTGGTGAAGCCTCTCGCCACCCCTGAGCCTCTGGCCTGTACCCCAGTTCTGTATGCACAAAATAAAAATAAATCTTTAAAAAAAAAAAAAAAAAAAAAAGAATGCGATGATGGCCCTCCCTGGTGGCGCAGCGGGTTAAAGCACAGCACTGAGAATCTAAAGCCGCTTCCTCATGAGTTTGATTCCCGCCTGCCCCGGAGGTGACCACATGGCGTGGCAGACCTCTCCTGACCCGCCCGCTGCTCCCCTCAGCAGTGTACTTCGTCGATCTGCCTGTTCTGCTCCCCACTCTGTCTCTGGTGAATCCTCTCACCCTCCGCATCTCTGGCCTGTACCCCGGTTCTGTATGAATAAATAAATAAATCTAAAAAAAAAAAAAAAGAATGCGATGATGGAGTGGAGTGGGGAATGGGATCAAAAACAGTGGGGGGAGGGAAATGCACTGGACTATGGTGATGGCACAGGGTGATTTGGTGATGAGAAGCCCATGGGGAGTACAAATGAGATGAAAAAAAATGCACAGAACCCTTGGGGTTATATCCTGTTATTAACTGCAAGCTCAGAGAGAACCCAGGGGTGGGGCCGGTGTCTGAGCCAGTGTCTGAGCCACAGCCAGCTGCCCATCCCCGGGAGGCCCCACATCCTTGAAAGCCAGCAAGAAAGCCCCTCCTCTCGGGCGGAGACACCTTCTAGAAGTCAACGCCCGCGTCCCGCCGGGACGCCAGTGACCACAGGCTGCTATTTGCACCGCCTCGCTGACTTCCTGTGGTGCCAGGGTGCGGAGTATGGGGTCCTGATGGTCATGGATGGCTACAGGGGCTTCCTGGGGCTGCTGGTCTCCGCGCTGCTTGTCGGCTTCCTATCCGTACTCTTCACCCTCATCTGGGTCCTCCACTACCGGGAGGGGCTCGGCTGGAACGGGGCCGGACCCGAATTTAACTGGCACCCGGTGCTCATGGTCACCGGCTTCGTCTACATCCAGGGCATCGGTACTGGCACTTCCTGGGGGGTCGGTGGGGAGGGAGGCCCAAACGAAATAGAAACCGACAGGGGCCGACGTGAGCGGGCGAGGGGCCGAAGGAGGAGCGCGGGACGTCGGGCCCAGGAGCCGAGGGCAGGGCGCGCGCAGCTGGTCGGCCCGGCTTGGCGGCGGAAGGGCTGCCCAGGGGCCCCGAGCCGGGGGATCTGGAGCTGTAGTGGGCTGGCGCGCGAGTGGCAACTCTGGGTAGGACTTGTTGCTGAGGCGGCAATTTGCAGCTGCGGGCGAGCTGAGCTGGTCCGGTCGCGCTGGCGCCACGTTGGTTAACTGTTTGCAGCGAGTGGCTGGGACGCAATTAGAGGCCCCTTCGTGACACCAAAGACACCAAACCCCAGAGCCGAGGAAAGATGCCGATGGCCTGACCCTGATAGCTCTCTCGTTTCCCCAAAATACCTGTGGACGGAGCTTGTTTGCGCAATGAGGGGCGTGGACGCGCCCTTTAGGCAAGGCCTTTGCCAGAACTTGTTTCAAGGCTGCAGATTATGAGAGAAAAGAAAGGGGAGAAAGTTGAGGGGCGAGAGTTTGCCTTTTCTGGTGTGATACTCAGTCCTGAGGGATGGGCTCATCAGTCAGGGGGTGAATTTCACCCTCTTGTAAGGTTAAAATCATCAGAGCCAGGAAAACTGCGAGGACTTCAAAGGGTGTCTGGCTGCCCTGCCAAGTTATTGGGCAGTCTTGAGCCCAACTTGTTTATGTGGCTGCAGAAGGCAAAAGTCTCCCTGAGGGCCTTCCCATTGGAATGTCCCTTGGCCCTGGCTCCCACATTGGGGCCAGAGATATTAATGGGGGTCTGGGTGGGTAGGTGGGGGTACGGTGTAAGTTTGCTGGAATAGGAAAGGCGCTTCTTATTTTCAATTGTCTGGGTTTTGCTTCCAGCGCGATTAGACAGAGATGAGGTAGACCTGGGGCTGCATTCTCTGGAATGAGGCTAACCAAGAGGGAAGGCTAAATCTTTGGCAAGTGGTTTTTGTTTTTATTGGGGGTGGGGGTGAGGGGAATGCAATTAGCACATAAAAGTATATTAGTGTAAGGTGTATAACAATGATTTGCTAAACTGAGGTAAACTCATCAAAGATACAATCACAAAGCAATAGCTAACATTTATTGAGTGGTTTCTGTGTGCCCATTAAGTGCATTATTCCACAGGTATAGAAGAGTAAACTGAAGCACAGAATAATTAAATAACCTAACCAGTTAATAGTGTGTTTTTAGTGGTGGTTGTTTCCAAGGTTTATTTCTCAGCTTTTGTGTCAATATTCTTATTTTCTGCAAAAAGTTATATCTAAATTATATCTAAACATTGTATCTAAAATATAATTTCAAAGTCTTTCATGTTAGAGTTGATTATAGTTTTCCTCAAAGGAGTTCTAGTTTTTCCAGACTTTGGACTTTTCTTAACCCATATAGGCTGACACTTGGACAGAAATGTGTAAATGGTTGGAAATCTTGGAAAGTTTCATTTGCTGTTTTTTGCTTTGTTTTCTTTAAGCTTAGTTATTGTGTTTGTATTCACTTTGGAATGTTTGTGTCAACATTACCATCCTGTTTACTATTTGTATTCCTGATTTGCAAAGCACTTCAGTCACATATATATTTAATTGACATGAAAGTAAATTTTTCCATATGAATAGCCATGCTTATAGTTCTTACAAATTTTAGCCTCCCACCACCAAGGTTCCACAGTGGAAAGACTAGGAATATAGTTAATAGGTCAGGAGGGAAATGCACATTACAGATAGTTATGTAATCACACTTTTTACTATGTTTAATTGCTTTAAGGTGGAGTTTTTTTTTTAAAGACTATTTATTTATTCATACAGAACTGGGGTACAGGCCAGAGATGCGGAGGGTGAGAGAACCCACCAGAGACAGAGCGGGGAGCAGAACAGCGGATGGATGAAGTACACTGCTGAGGGGAGCAGCGGGCGGGTCAGGAGGGGTCTGCGGCGCCATGTGGTCACCTCCGGGGCAGGCGGGGAATCGAACTCATGCGGAAGTGGTTTAAGCTTCTTAGTGCAGTGCTTTAACCCGCTGCGCCACCAGGGAGGACCACTTTAAGGAGGAATTTTAGGCTATGTTATTTTTTTAAAGATTAATTTATGTATACATACAAGAACTGGGGTACAGGCCAGAGATGGGTTTTGAGGCAGGGGGCGACAGGTTTCGCCAGAGACAGAGTGGGGAGCAGAACAGGCAGATATACTGAAATACACTGCTGAGGGGAGCAGCGGGGGGGTCAGGAGAGTTCTGCCACACTATGTGGGTCACCTCCATGGTGGAGGATAGAACTCATGGCGCAGTGGCTGCAGACAGCTTCATAGTGCTTCACTTTAACCCACTGCACCTCCACAGAGGGACTGGCTATGTTATTTCTGAACTCTAATAATGAACATGATGTAATTGAGTTTTCTGTGATTTACAAACATTTAATTTTTTTAAATTGAAGTACCACTGTTTTATATCCTTATTAGTATTTTCATAGTATAAGATTTCCCCATCAGGTATAGTCACCTTACCACTCACACCACCAAATCACCCATTGATCTTCACCATAGTCCACTGAATACAAAAATATTTAGAGGTAAAGAAGGGAAGGATCAAGTATCACCATTACTCTAAACATAAACTGCTTTAAAAATTACAGTATAGAACAGCAAGCAGTATTTGAAATAGAAAATACATTGAGTCCTTTGAAACACCTTTAAGAAGTAAGCTTTGAAAAAAGTATGGCTAACATAAAGTTACATAATAAATGTGTGTGTGTGTGTGTGTGTGTGCGCGCGCACACTCCCTCCAAGTTTCAGAAAATATACATACTCTAGAATAAAGTAATAATAGACTATGGGATATCTAAAACTGAGATAGAATTTTAAACTAGGAGGAAATCTAGTGAACACAAATAAGGAAGATTATCAAAGTGAATTTTAAAAGAGGCTTTGTGCTTCTGTAAAAGGAAATGTTTCCCATGAAATAGATATACTGCCAGGAAATCAAAGAAACAAATCTTGAAAAGAGGACCATAGAAAAGACTGAAACCAGAATCTGCTCTCAAAGTGGCAGCTGACCTTTTAAAAGGTTCCGTGAGGCAGAATGTAGACTTTAGTAAATGGTAGAAAATCAACTATATAATGTAGAGGAAAGAAGACTCTGAAATTCTATACTCCTTACTTTTCCACATGTAGAAATCTTTCCTGTATAAATTGAAGAAAGAGAAATTGAATCGTGTAGTGATCTCATTGGTTTTGTGAGAGACTATAACTACATTTAAGTAACATACAAAAGACTAACAAAAGGAATTAAAAATAGTTTTTGGAACTGAAAAAAAAATTTTGGAAAACAGATAGGATATCTAATTAATCTATCTGAAAGTGGTCAAACTCCAAGACCGCTTAGGTACATGTAAAAAGGCTCTTGGGTAAGAACTGGTAAAGAACAAAATGAGAAAGTGCCCCAAATAACCTACTCCAAAATCAGCCTTGGGACACCACTGACAGTAAACCTATCAATCTTAGGGAAAGAAAGGTTTCACAAAGTATAAACAAACACATTTGTAATAGCATATGCAGATCTCTTTATATTGTAACAAATAAAAAATGTTTTATATGGTAAATGATGCTCACTGTTGTAGCCCCACCCTCTAAATTAGCAACCAGAACTGGTTCATCGGAGGCCAATAAAATAAATGAATAAGTAAATATTTCTGCACCATCATTGTTAGTAACATTGTTAGTGACATTGGAGATAATAAAGGAACATATAAAGTAAAAGTCTTCTCTCTTCCCCTCATGATTCTCTCATTAAGCCAGTTTGGAAACTTTGGTTTAGTCAACTTCAAGGAAGAAAAGACATTATATTACATTGGAAATGCATTAGTCCAAAGATCTCAAATTCATCAAAATATTATTACATAAGTGCAGTCTGTGGCTCTACTTCCCTACCTAAAGATTTCACTTTACAAATTCTCCCTTTTTCCTTCTGCATCCTTATTGGGCTATTTCTAACATGGGCCTGATTTCTAGTGTCTACACTACATAGTGAGTTGAACAGCGGGTCCCCCCAGTACTAATCTCAAGTACCTGTGAGTGTGATCTTAATGACAGTACAGATATGCAAATGAGATCATCCTGGGTTGGGGCTGGGCTCTAAATCCAATGACTGCTATCCTTTAAGAGAAAGAAGATGTGCAACTTAGAGAGAAGGTCTTGTGAAGACAGGGCAGAGATTGGAGTGAAGCATCTACAAGCTAGAAAACATCAAGAATTGCTAATAGCCACCAGAAATTAGGAGAGAAGTATGGGATACCTCTCCCTCACAGCCTTGGTAAGGAACCTATCCTGTTTTAGTTTTAGAGTCTGGTCTCTAGAATTGTGAGAGAATACAGTAAGTCACTCCATTTTGGTAATTTGGTAGCCCTGGGAAGGTAGTACAGGTTGTGTAACAGTAACCACTGGGAATCCCAAAGCGAGGCATACTCATCAGGCTAGAGATTTTTCAAGGTTCTTTCCAATCCAGACACAGATCATTTGTATTGTAAGCACTATTGTCTGATATCCCTGGTGACAAACCACTTAGTCTTTTTATTAAGATGGTAATGGGGGCCCTCCCTGGTGGCAGAGTGGGTTGAGGCGCAACACTGAGAAGTTAGACAAAGCCCCTTCAGCGCAAGTTTGAGCCCCAGACAGGGAGCTGACCTACATGACACAGCAGACCTGTCTTGCCCACTGCTCCCTTCAGCAGTGTACTTAGTCTTCCTGTTCTGCTCCCGACTCTGTCTCTGGTGAATCCTCTCACCACCCCTGCACCTCTGGCCTGTGCCCTGGTTCTGGATACATAAACCTTTTTTTTTTTTTCTTTTTTAAAGATGGTAATAGGTGTGTGCCTGGATGGAAGGTAGGAACAGTAGGGAATTGGAGAGTGCCTACTCCTGGTGAAGTAGGAAACTTCTACTTAGCTCTAATGAACTGTGACTATGATGAGCTGCCAGCCTAAGGTAGTCAGAGTGTTCATTCCCAAGAGAATCCAATTAAAAAAAAAAAAAAAACTGACTCCAACTTAAAGTACACAAGCCTTAAAGCCAAAATAAAACCCCAAATTAGTGTGCTAATCAAGTAAAAAGATATCTGTGGGCCAAACCTACTTCATACCTTCTGTTTACAAGCACCCTTTAGAAATTTTCTATCTTGATTTTGTGTAGTTTTAAACTTTCTCCTTGGAAAGCAGAAAATCCCCCCTTAAATAGAGCAGAAATCTTTATTAGGTTTTTTTTTTTTTCTTTCCAGATGCCCCTCTGCCCAAATTCAAATTCACATTGCTGCTCTAAGACAAATTTGTATCTATAGTTTTGGGATGGTAAGTAGGTGGAATTCTGGTGTCAAACCAGGATTACATTTTAGAGAATATATATTTTTCACATATTCTTGAGTTAATTATGCAGTGAAGAGCTAAGAAATTTTCTAGTAATTAAATTTATTTGTATTTTCTTCTTCATTGTCCAAAGAATGATTCGAAACAGACATTGACTTATTTATTCCTTTTTTTCTTTCAAAATTTACATGATAGCATATTCCACTACAGATCATTTTTCTTTTCAAAAAGATTTAATGTATTTCTCCCATATATTTATTCATGTTTACCTTCATTTTTCTGGAGAAAACAAGTCTTGCCATTAGGACCTCTAACAGAAAACTCCTGTTTTAATCACAAGTTGCTGTTTGGTATCATTTCCCCTTCCTGTGGGCATATGAGGTCTTTTTCTTCTTTCTCACTGAGCCACAGGAATGTTGTTTAGGTAACTGCCAAGTCCAAGAACCAAGAAATAGTTAAATTCCTTCTTCTTCTTTTATAACTGTTGAAAATAACTTCAGAAATGTGTTTTGATTTGCCCTTTTCTCCTGAAGTCCACCATATTTTGGTTATTTATACATTTTTTTAAAACATGTACACACCTTGTGCAAATACAACATTTGCAGTTGCCCTTCCTCTATTTAGAGAGTATTTTGAAGCACATTCAACTTCCCAGCAGAGCTTTTATACATCCAAGATAAACGCTGAGAACTCACACATATGAGATTTCTACAGGCTGCTGCCTGTTTAGTAGTGGAGACTAATTGACTATTGTGTTTGCAAGCTTCCAAAAATATTGTTTTAACTTTAAAAAGATTGTGAACACTTTCAACCATATGGAAAATAATATAACAGAGCCCTATGTTCTCACCACCCAGATTAAACAGATGTTAATTTTTTGCAAACATATAAGCTACATCTTAGAACCAGTTAGAATAAAAGATAAGGCAGGGTGTTAGGGGAAGTGGGTGGAGGTAGCACTCTAACCGGAGCAAAACACTAAAAGATGGGATTGAAAACTCTAAATGAGACCCAGGGGCTAAAAGAATCATAATTGCCTGGGCTTGTGTGGATCAGATTTCAGCTCCACTACTGTTTGAGAACAGCTTCTAAGAACTGTTATATAGTAAAACAATATGTTTTATTGATAAAGCAAACTCATCGGTAAAAGATTATATTGTGTTCCATTCACACTACTGCTACAGAAGGAAAGCTAGTGTGCAACCAAATCTGAAAAAGATCTAAATAAGCAAAAAAGATTTAGAGATCAAGTGTTGACACTCAACGGTGTAGACTTCAGTTGTATGGAGTTTTTGACATATTTCTCTGTGCTATCATAGTATTGAGAAGAGTAAGAGTTCTTCACTGGGAACAAAGTTGTCTTTGAATTTCTGGCAACATTTTTTTAAGGTAAACTTTTTTTTGAAGGACAACATCCATGCAGTAAAGTGCCCAAATCCTAAGTGATTTATTTTCATAACATGAATACACTTGTATACTCAGAATCTGAGACATTTCAAGCACCAGAATCCCCCTGCTAACCCCTATAATTCTTCTTAGTCCTGATAACTATTCCTGACTTCTAATGTCAGAGTAGTTTTTGTTTGTAACTTGTGATATCATATGATACAGACAGGAGAGGAAAAAACTATTGCAGTTTACTATTCACAATTTACTTTTCAAGCAAACATATCCTCAGTGTTTTCTTTCATATTATAAATGTTCAAGTTCACATCTAGGAAGGCTTTCCCCAGGCTGGTCCTTGGATGATATGACAATGATGATGAATTGTACTGAGGTCAGTTCTTCCTGGTTGCCTTATAATTATGTAAGATATTGCCTTATAATTATGTAAGATATTACCACTGGGGGGAACTCTATGAAGCAACTTTAGGATATCCGTATTAGTTATTAAAACTGCACTTGCATCTACAATTATCTCAAAATAATAATTTAAAGAATGCTTTTGGAGCTACCTTCTGTGAGTCCAGAGCTGTCCCAGTGGAGGAACAGCAGTATTCCTGCTGAAGTAGGACTGAGTCGGACTTAAAATAACTCCTAAAAGGCCCTCGCTGGTGGCACAACAGTTAGGATGCAGCACTGCAAGCTGGTCCCAGCCGCTTCGGTGCGAGTTCTATCCCCCACCCCAGAGGTGATCCACATGGTGCAGCAGACCTTGACTGTCTCGCCCGCTGCTTCTCTCAGCAGTGTGTTTCAGTCAATCTGCCTGTTCTGCTCCCCACTCTCTCTGGTGAATCCTCTCACCACCCCTGTACCTCTAGCCTGTACCCCAGTTCTGTATGCATAAATAAAAATCTTAGAAAAAAAAACCTCATAAAAGTATACCTTTCATAGTGTTGCAATAAATAGTTTGAAAAGATTCATCAAAAAGTTGGGATAAATAGTTTGAAAAGGCATCAAAAAGTTGGAAGAGGGTTTTTTCTTGCTGGAATTAAGAAAAAAATTGTTGACATAGTAGAAACTGTCTTACAAGGAAGTATTCTTTAAACTTTTCAATCTGTCATGTATTTCAAGATACATGAAAATCTGTTTTTCCTGAAATTGATGGGGAAGAGTAATATCTTCAGAATAAAAATAAATTGCATGCTGGTTAAGGTAGACATATCACTGTTTACTTAAACTAGGCCACTTTAAAAAGTCCTGCCTTTTCAGAATCTTTTTGAAGGTTAATTCACATGCAGGGGGAAAATATGTACATTTAAGTATAGTGCTATTGAATCTTTTCTCTATAAACACCTAGGAACACAGACAAGAAGCAGAATTTTAGCAGGAGCCCAGAAATCCCACCTGTTCCCTTCCAGTTGCTATACCCCTTTCACAGAAGGGTGACCACTATCTGAGCTTTTCTTCTTGCAGAGATAAATTTTGCTGATTTTTATGCTCCATATAAATTAAATTGTATGGTATATATTTGTTTATATCTGGTTCCTATGGATTGACATTATTGGTTGATCCATATTGTTGAATAAAGCTCTAGTTATAGGTCTTTTATTTTCTTTGCTGTATATTATCCCATGGTGTGACCATATTACAATTTATTCTTTCTGTTAATGATGAACATTTGGGGTTTTGGCCACTATGAGTATTCTAATACCTGCCTTTTGGTAAGCATCTGTACATATTTCTTTTGGGCATCTCCCCAGGAATGGAACTGATAAATCGTAAGTTAGGCTAAAATAGATAATGTTAGTTTTCCAAAGTGTTTGTACTCATTTAAATTCCTATTAGTAGAACATCCTTTGTAATACTCAATATTTTTCATGTTTAACCATTCAAATATATTAGTAGAAGTATTCTCATTTGTTTTTAATTTGTAGGTGTCTGTTAACCAATGAAATTAGTATTTTTTATGTTCATAACCACTTGCATTTACCCTTATTTAGTTAGACCTTCCTGCATATATAAGACACCTATATGAAGAAACCAGATCATAAAACCAATAATTTAGTTTTGGACATGTAAATTTGAGATAACTGGGAGGCATTTAAATGAATATGTCGAGAAGTACTGGATTCTGTGGATCTGGAGTTCAGAAGAAAGTGCTGGGCTAGAAATACAAATTTTGGAGTCCTGGCTCAGTGGCTAGTATTTCAGTGAAAGTGAATGAGATCACCCCTAGAGAATGCAGAAGAAAGGAAAGTCTCAGGACAAAACCTGAGTGACATCAAGGTTCATTCAAAAGCTGGGAGTAAACGATGTTTACTACTGCTCTAATTACAATAGAGAAGATACAGAATTGACCCAAATGCCCCAAAATAGATGACTGGATCAAGAAGATGTGGAACACATACATAATGGAACATTACTCAGCAATCAAAAAGATAAACTCATGCCATTTGTGGCACCATGGATGGAGCTGAAAAAGATTATGCTTAGTGAAATAAGCCAGATGGTTTCACACATAGCAGGAGTGTAAGGGATCAGGAAATATATATATATATATATATATGTATATATATATACATATATATAAAATAACCGTAAACCAGAGACCTTCTACAGGGGAAGAGAGAGACAGGATCAAAATTGGGGCGGGAAGAGCACAAAGGACTATGGTGATGGCAAATAGGTGAAGTGGTAGTGGGAAGTCCATGGAGATTGCAGCTGCGATGAACAAATGTACAAAATAAAGAATGATGTGTGTGTGTGTGTATATATGTGTGTGTGTGTGTGTATTCACACACACAGATATATATGATATCTGTGTGTGTGTTTGTATATATACATATAGTTGGGAGTAAAGAATATACCAGCGAAAGAGTCCCAGAAGGATTCCCTAAGAGGCAGGAAAGAGGGGAAAAGCCAAAGCCCTCCCCCCAAATTGGGGATTCGTGAAAGGGAGTGTTTGTTTTGTATGTACATCTTTTGCTGATTTAAAACCCAAACTGTGGTTTCCTTTTGCCTCTCCCTAGCCATCATCGTATACAGACTACCATGGACCTGGAAATGCAGCAAGCTCCTGATGAAATCCATCCATGCTGGGTTAAATGCCATTGCTGCCGTTCTTGCAATTATATCTCTGGTGGCTGTTTTTGATTTCCACAATCACTCAAAAATCCCCAATATGTACAGTTTGCACAGTTGGGTTGGACTGACAGCCGTCATACTCTATATTCTACAGGTCAGTATCACACAGTATATTTATAAACAAGATACAAGGACTAAAACAACTCAAATACTATAGATTTTTTTATCCTCACAGATTCTTGGAAATAATCTTTTCATTCTCTTTAGTCCATTGTTACATTTGCTTTCATCATATGTATATATTCTATTGTACTTTTTTTTTCCATTCTGCCAATTCGCTATATGGGTTCCTCTAGTTGTGTAGCTCACTCACTTTTACTTTTATATTCATCCTATTGAATAAACACACCACAAATTTATTTATCTGCTCTGCTATTCTATATTTGGGGCCGTTTTCAATAGTTTTCCTTACGACTGTTTCATTGAACAGTCAGAGACACGTGTTGGTACTCGGATACACAAATGAACCAGATTTCCAATTCTTGTCAGCTTGCCATGAGGATCAAAGGTTCATTGGAAACACTGTGGGTTCAGAGAATGCTGTTATCATTACCTTAAAGAATGAGGTCTACCCATGTTTAAAGTTATGTCCAGAAATAACCTTTTTATTGGATAAATCTATCTATAGGGCAAATATTTATCAGAATTTCTGATTTAGCTAATCTAAAAGGATCTCTTTATGTAAACAATTTAGGTGTTTCTGATGCCTGTCTTCTATGAATAACACTTTAAGAACTACTGATTACAAGGGACAAGATAATTCTATGACTTTCAGTTGACTAGGTTTTAAGTTACCATATTCGTTTATAAGGTGATAAGCGTTAGCTGGTCAAAAGGAATTAAAGATTATTATAACTTACAATTATAAATGTATATTGTTTGCAATATAATCAAATTTAAATTCTATAACTTTTCCCCTTTCCTTTTATTTTTATTTTGTTTAAGATTTATTTATTTATGTATACAGAACTGGGGTACAGGCCAGAGGTGCAGAGGCAATGAGAGGATTCATCAGAGACAGAGTGGGGAGCAGAACAGGCAGATGACCAAAGGACACTGCTGAGGGAAGCAGCAGCAGAAACAGACGAGGTCTGCTGAGCTATGTGGTTCACCTCTGGGGCCGAGGATTGAACTCTCATTGAAGCTCTGTGGCTAGCTTGCAGTGCTGCTTTCCTAACCTGTTGCACCACCAAGAAGAGCCCCCTTTCCTTTTAAAAATAATTTTTTGTTGTTAAAAACAATATTCTAATGGTGAAAGTAAGATTAGGGGTGATAAATTGTGGTGTTTTTTTTTTTTTTAAGATTTATTTATTCGTGCATACAGAACTGGGGTACAGGCCAGAGGCTCAGGGGCGGTGAGAGGCTTCACCAGAGACAGAGTGGGGAGCAGAACAGGCAGATGGCGAAGTACACTGCTGAGGGGAGCAGCGGGCGGGTCAGGAGAGGTCTGCCACACCATGTGGTCACCTCCGGGGTAGGTGGGAGTCGAACTCATGCGGAAGCAGCTTTAGATTCTCAGTGCTGTGCTTTAACCCGCTGCGCCACCAGAGAGGGCCTGTGCTGTGTTTTTATTAGCAGATTTCTATCCCACCTGTTTAGATAAGTGAGCCTTATAGTATGGATTAAAGATCATACACATGATAAATCTTGAAAGAAATTAAAGAAAAAGGTAAGATTCTAAGGATTGAGGGGCCCTCTCTGGTGGCGAAATGGGTTAAAGCCCAGCACAATGAAGCTGTCCACAGCTGCTATAGCAGGAGTTTAAGCCCAGGTCAGAGAGGTGACCCACTTGTCACAGCAGACCTCTCCTGACCTGCCTGCTGCTCCCCTCAGCAGTGAATTTCAGTACATCTACCTGATCTGCTCCCCACTCTGTCTCTTGTGAATCTTCTCATCCCCCACATCTCTGACCTGTACTTCAGTTCTTGCATGCATAAATAAATCTTTAAAATAAAAAGATTGTAAGGAATGAAAAGAGGCTAGAGAGCAATAAGTGGAAACTTACATTCCTTTGGCTAAGTCACAGAAAAGATAGTGACTTATTCACAGAACTGTATTTATGTTAAATTCTTGGCAGTCACTTACCATATTTTGATATGGAAAGCACAGCCTGTATGCGAGGAAGCTTGCCCTTTGATATTAATAGAGTGTGTGTTAGAAACATTCTGAAGCAACAAAGGGGACTGCCTAAGTATGGTAATATATTCAGACATTTGGGATATTAAGTGGATAATAAAATATGCAAAACAGCTTATCAATTGCACTTTTGATTGCTTTCCACTCATTATCATTGCCTTTAAGTTAAACATGTTTTAGGGCCACAGACCCTCCTGCCTCCACTCCTCCTGCCTTCCTCATTAGTTATGTGATCTCAATCAGGAAGGGTGAACAATAACATTAATGTTTCTCCCATTTGTTTCTCTTGTCATGCTGATTTTGTTAGTAGGAAGAGACTAAATAGAAACATATTCCTCTAAATTTAGCTACTTAGTCATCTTTATTTTCTTGAAGGGAAAAGAATACTTGACTGACAGGATGTTTGAGGCAACAGAACAAGACTGTTTTGACTTTAGCTACATGGGAATCTTCCCTGCAGAGAAGTGTCCCATTAGGGACCTAATTATTAAGGTGGTACAGATAACTTTTCAGCAAAACTCATGCCCTTTTCAGAGAACAAATTTGTTTATTTTCCAGATTGTTTTTTAGGTTGGACTGACTAAATGTTCTATTGAATTTGGTTTAAGTAACTTAAAATCTCTCATTTCACCTCCTACTTGTTAACCTTAAGGAAATTAATAAAAACAAACAAGTCAAGGACCATAATCTTCACTTTGTCCTTGTTAATGATAGAAAAAAAACTGGAAGCAAAAATGTTAACAGAGACCTGAATAAGTAATGTTACATCCTTTAAAACAATATTATCCACTAAAAAGAATAAACAAAATAGCATGAAAAAGTCTCTGAGGTGGACTATTAAGGAAAAAAAGAAAGATGCAGAGCAAATACGTAAAGTAAGTTTCCATTTATGCTTTAAAAAGATTTCTTCTCTTTTCACACACACACACATCCCTATGCTTATTTAGGTACAGTGATTTTCTAGGCTATTTGAGAAAGTGATAATAGGTGTTAACACTGAGTAGTGGGGAAATTTACTTTTTACTTCATGCCCGTGGTTCAGATAAAAGGATTTTTCATTTGCATATATTGCTTTTATATTAATAATTTTAAAATTAGTTGAAGCTTAAAATGAAATGGTAACCTTTGCACTTTTTGATGTCTAGCTTCTCCTAGGTGTTTTCATATTTCTGCTTCCTTGGGCTCCACTCTCTCTCCGAGCACTTCTCATGCCCATCCACGTTTATTCTGGACTTCTCATCTTTGGAGCAGTGATTGCCACAACGCTTATGGGAGTGACGGAGAAGCTGATTTTTGCCTTGTAAGCTACATGGTTTCCCTGATTTATAATACTTAAACTATAAAATGTTAACTACTGAGTTCGTGGAAATATGTACTATGAATTAGATTTTTTTTACATTTTAAAAATAAAATATTTTAAATGTTTATTTAAAGATTTAGTATATTACATATGGAATATAATACCACTGAAAGGAGACCATAAAGTCCAATGTACCATACTTACAAAATAACTACTAGAGTTATACATTCCCCTTCAATCTTTTTAATGTGAATGTTTTTTATATTATGATTATGCTATGATTCTAGTGTACATACATTTTTATATCATCCTTTTAAAAAAATTTTTTTTCAAAGATTTATTTATTCATATAGAAATGGGGTACAGGCCAGAGATGCGGAGGGTGAGAGGATTCACCAGAGACAGAGTGGGGAGTAGAAAGGGTAGATCGACGAAGCACACTGCTGAGGGGAGCAGTGGGCGGGTCAGGAGAGGTCTGCCATGCCATTCGGGGCAGGTGGGAATCGAACCTATGCAGAGGTGGCTTAAGCTTCTCAGTGCTGTGCTTTAACCCGCTGCGCCACCAGGGAGGGCCCCCTTTTAAGCAATTTTAAATGGTATAGATGTTCCAGATACTAAGTTATTTTAGTACTTATGGTTTTAAACAATCTCTTGTTATTCCATGGAGTGGAAGGGGCTTTTCCCTGAAGCTGTACCAGTGTGCATTCTGGGGCATAAATTAAAGACTATTAGGCATGTTGCTATATCCGCCTATTTGTAATGGGTCACTCTCTCTCTCTTTTGCAGGCCAACTAAATACAAGTTATTTCCACCAGAAGGTATTTTCACAAATACCCTCGGCCTTCTGATTCTGGTATTTGGGGCCCTCATTTTTTGGATCGTCACCAGACCCCAATGGAAACGTCCTAAAGAACCAAACTCTAGCCTTCTTCAGCCAAATGGAGGCACTGCAGAGGGAATGGAAGGTTCTATGGCAATAAACGTCAGCAACATGGACAAATCAGATTCAGAGTTAAACAGTGAAGCTGCAGCAAGGAAAAGAAACTTCATCCTTGACGAGGCTGGCCAGAGATCCACCATGTGAAATATTATAGCAGTGCAGTCATATAACTCACTTTTAAAAACGAGCTCTACCATTTAACTTCTCATATTTAGTCATCTGGTGATTAAGCTTCATAGAGTCAATACTCATTTGAATCATAAAGCAGAGTTTCTTAAAGGGTTTTGTAATGATTGAGGTCTATGAACTTATCTGAAATGGAAAGGAGATAATCAATGTAAATAATAGCTTACATGAGTGTGATTTTGTTATCTATTCCCTGTTCAGGACCAAAGAATTTAGCACAGTGCCTTGCATAGAACATATAATAAAAATATGCCTATTGGTTTGTAAATTTGATAAACTGGCCACAAATCTGGCTGTTTGTTGTATAGTCATTTCCTGTTAGTTCTGGAAGTTGAGTACTTTCAGAACTAAATAGAACCAGTCTAGAATATTAGAAATAGATCACAAATATCAGGGACAGAGCTTATGCTATGTAGATATCATCACTAGAATAAAAGGGGAAAAAATAAGGAAGATAATTTGTCCCCTTCTCCCTGTGCCTGCCCTCAGCAACCATCTAGTTTGGGCTGAGATTGGCCCTGGGTTTATATTTAGGATATTCTGGAACAGTGACTGGGCCATAAGTAATTGAAGAGATCTTCTCTGGTCAGACTGGAAGTTTTTCTAAAATTTGATTTAGTCCCAAGCTTTTAGTGTTCTTTATGATCCAGATTCCAAACCTAATTGTAATGAGAATGTGCTTGAATGCTCAAGCAGCCTAAATTGCTCTGCAAACCGTAAAGTGCACTTTTCTCCAAGTTTCTGTTTTTATTTTTAAAAGTACTTACATGGCACTTAGAGTTTGTCACACACTATTCTAAGTACCTTATAAATACTTGCTCATTCAGTCCCCAGATAAACCTTATGAGGTAGATACTGTTATAATCCCCAATTTGCAAATCAGTGATGTAAAGCTTAGAGAGGTTGGTAGCTTGGCCCAAGGTCCAAGACTGAAATTCAAATCCAGCTGTCTGATGCCTCTGTTAATCATCCCAACCAGTCCACTACCTAGTTTGGTTTCTTTTTTGTTTGCTTTATACTAATTCATATCTGATTTTATCCATTTCTGGAAAAATCTCAATTGTTGGATTGTAGTGGGGTTGTTAAAATTTACCTCTTGGCACTCTTTTCCAAGGCAGATTCCCCACATAACCAGAGAAAAGGGTCCATCCATACCTGGAAATAGGCATGGGCATCTTAGCACTGTCAATAAGTCACAGCTTACCTTGATACCCCACTAATCTGAAACTTATATCTTGATGACAGAAAAAAGTTTGGGCAAGAACATCTATCCCTTCAAAAGTAATCAGTTACAAGTTTTGTTCTTTAGAATCTTAACTACTTAACAGCTTTGGGTTTGGAGATATGAAAGTCTTACCTTCGTAGGGACAATAGCTAGGGTTTTTCCTAATTTGGGTAGAATGTTAAGGGATATCTTGAGTTTTGAAGTTCTCAATAATGAATTGAGACCAAGAGTGACAGAGTTGGGGCATGGAAACCTCCATCTAATCTCTGGATTGACTGAAATGAAAGTCTAAAGCACTATCTGTGCGAAATGACACTTTTATTTTGGGGTTGATTTTGGTTTCACTGCAGTTTTAAACTGGCACATTTTAATGAGGATATAAACCTTAGTTTACACCAGATATACTTAACACTTGTGGTGCTCAGTGAATTTCCGTTTACATAACTGCTAATTTCTTCCACAAAGTGAATACAAACTCTACTCCATCCTATCCCTTATGCTTCACAAACGACCATTCCAGATTCCTTTGTCCGCTGTTGTTTTCTTCTTATTTAACTCTATTTCCAAAACTGAATGTTAAAAGGATCGCCCAGTGCCCAACCCAACGCCTGACATATGGCTGACATAGGCCCAATTAAATGTAGTAGGGGTAGAGTATGCTACAATTTTGGTGCCAAGAGGAAGGAATAAAGGTTTGTCGCATACAAACCTTTGTTTCGGCAGGTAGATGTTTTACTACATTAAGGTGCACAAAATTCCATGTTTTTTTTTTTTTTTTTTAGAGAAGGGGGGTCAATGATAGCTCCAAGAACTGAAGCTACCATTCATTTCCACTTGCCAACAAAAAGGTAATTAGTGAAAAGTTCATTATTAATTCAACACTAGAATATTCTGCTCCATTGAGTAGTTGAGCACTCCTTATCTTAGCCCTTTATTTTCTTGTGGGCTAATGTGAGGGTAATCTTACAGATATTATAGGAACTTCTTTCATTCTCAACCTTTATGAAAACAATGCATAGTAAAGTATATTTAGAAAATCTTTCTGTTTTAGACTCTTCTTTTAATGGGCTTTTTATTCTAGTGATAATTGTACCTTTATGTTTCAAAAAGCTCATCTTTCCTACCTAAAGTATCTTCTCCCAAAAATCTCATTAAAAAACCCACAAAGAGAATAGGGGAAAGAAAGCCTTAGGTATCAAATCCAAAACAGTGATTGAAATCTCCCCAAATAATTATAGCCTATATCATCTGCAGAGATTGTCTGGCTTGACTTACCCCATAATCTAATTTCAGAAAGAAGAAAGAAAGAAAAAGCTTTAACACTCATCTAAATCAACACGAAACCCTTTTCTCTGAAAGGGTTTATTGAGAAATACAAATGAATATACTTCTGAATTAATGTTATCAAAAGTGTACCTGTGCTCCTTGTGTCAAACTGAATCCTCCCTCCAAAGTACTTCTTTCCTTTCCTGTGTGGTTTCATTTAGTGCTGTTTGGAAAGAGCATCCCAGACCTTATAATCAAATGACAAAGAAGGCAATTGCGCTTTTAAAGGAATACTTACAGCAGGTTCTGTTTTTTAAAGGATGAAGTAGGCTGTCTTGTTAATTAGGTCCTTTTTCCTACTGAGTTGTAAATTTCAGTGCAATACCGATTGGCCACAACTGCCAGATCTAAAAATCTTGAAGTAAAGCATCATACTAATATTATTGTAATATGATGGAATTTTAATTTTGGTATGTTCTTTTTAAAAATAATTTCAATAGGGAACTGTAACTGCTATGTCTTAGAAATACACATGAAGTATAGAAGAAAGAAAACTATTATTCTTTCTCATTCTATAAAGTACCTGAAAACTTTAAGTGGAAAAGTTTTCTATGCTTAAATTTGTCTTTTTATCACAGCACATTTATGAAAAAATATTAGTCTGAATATTTTATAATTTTTGTAGGAAAATATGCATCTATTTTTCTTGCTTTACATAGTAATAAAAGTTATTTTGGAAGCTATTTGTGCATGTCATCAATTTATTCAAACTACAGGTATAAAAATTGTTCTGAAAGTCTCTTTCCCATGATGTGATGTTTTTCAATGAATTTTTTTTAAGTTTCCTAACTGAAAATGTTGTAGATCTCTTTATAAAGCATACACTGAATACCATACTTTTTACATTGCTATAAAGAACAGAGGTCTGTTTCAAAATTGTTCTTCTCCAGACTCCAGACCAGCTCTGAAGGAGAGACAGACTTTGTCCGACAGAAGGGAGACGAGTCTAGAAACCCGTTTAAGTTGGAAAAGCATTAAATATGAACCTATTAAAAATTCTGGTTATTGGCCCTCCCTTGTGGCGCAGCGGATTAAAGTACAGCACTGAGAAGCTTAAGCCACTTCCGCATGAGTTCGATCCCCACCTGCCCCGGAGGTGATCCACATGGCGTGGCAGACCTCTCCTGACCGCCCGCTGCTCCCCTCAGCAGTGTACTTCGTTGATCTGCCTGTTCTGCTCCCCACTCTGTCCCTGGTGAATCCTCTCACCCTCCGCATCTCTGGCCTGTACCCCAGTTCTGTATGGATAATAAATTAAATCTTTAAAAAAAAATTCTGGTTATGTTAATAGTAACTCATTCTAGAGAAAGTACATAATTCATAATGGATGAATTGGTGTTTTTTTTCCAAATAAGAAAAAAGGATCATTAACATCTTAATTTCCACTGCTTGTTTAGCTCCTTTTGTCTTCTGGGAAACTAAGGAGGCCTGTAGTGGCATTTTATGTTGTGTAGCTAAAAATAACACCATAATACTATATGTTCAGTTATACAATAGAGCTGTAATATTGTAGGTAAACTGAATTGTTTAAGTTACAATTTTGTCACTGATTTGTATTATTAATTTCAGGAATACTGCTTTTTGCTTTAAATTGACCTTAATTCACATGTACTTTTGACACTGTAAATATATGTATTCAATGTCATTACAGATGTGAATAGCTTATGTGCAGATTTTAGGGTTCTTCATAGGCCCCATTAGTTGCAAAGCTTCTGTGATCACTAAATTTTTTTCTTGGTACTCCAACCCAGTAAAATAGAGTTTTGAATTTTAGCCTTCCTGCTTGATAGAGACCAGGGTTTTCCCATTGCAAAAAAAGCTAAAAATGGAAAAGTCCAGTGATTTTCCTTTCTCCCAAATCCTGGATAGGCTCTATGACATTTCTGCCTGCTAGTCATTGTTTTCCAGTATATTCAACTAGTATTTTTAAACATCCACCCCAATTTTGTAATTGTTATTTGTGGAAATGTTTTTCCTATAAAATAAACCCTTCATTATCAAAAGCCTGAACTTTGCAACACTTTTAATTACTAATATGTAATCTGAATCTCCAAGATAAAGAATATAATATGGAACATTTTACTAAGTTATTATGACCAGAGTTTTGGGTTTTGTTTTACTGATTTTTTTTTTCTTTAATAAAACTGCTGCAAAATGACTGCTTTGTTCTGGGAAAAGCTGATTAAAGGCCAGTCTTGCTCAAGGTTGCCCTAACAACTTCTAGCCAAATGCGGGCCTCCCTTTTTACGCACTTAGGTTTAATGCTCACTTAATTAAATACTATAGAAACATACATGCTTTAAGTACCCTCACAATTAAAGGTAAGAGAGTTTGACCTTCATCATAAGGGAAGAATAAGGGAGTAGTAAGTGATTGTAATCTCCATTTAAAATGTCTGAGACTCTAAAGTTCTGTCACTAGACAAGAAAATTATTCTGAATATGAGATTGTGTTCTGGCTGCTTGACACCTTGAGAAATACAAACCAAGAAAATACATACAAAGATGGACATGACACATTCTTTATCACAAAAGGGAAAGACATGCTTATATAGACTCTGAAATTCATTACTGATCAATTCAGTTTTTGTTCAAGGGAACAATTCATTTGTAATTTACAATATTTTTTATTTTTATATTTTAAATTGCAGAATAGTTTAAAAATAGAATAATAAACACAAGAGGTTTGTGTTCACTGAGGTAATGTTGATGGACATCAATGT